ACTGAGTGCTACTTATTGTGTTTTGTTAAACGTCATCCAGGTCTTACTGCTCTTTCCCATTCCTGGCATCAGTGTTTGATGGAGGTCGTTAGAATGTCCTGACTGGATAACTTACTGCCTCCATTTTTGTTTCTGAGATTAATAGAAGCATTCTCCTACTTCAGAATGTCCCCGAGCCTCTTACGCCTCCCTTCATTCCGCAGTCCCTGATTTTGGACACATGAGGCGTAGAGTTGAGTCAAGCACATTCTTCAATTTAAGGGTCACTGTCATCATTGGTTCATGTAAGGCCCCTCCCTTCCTCCATTCAATATTAATCGATTCACTTATTCCATTTACCCCCATTCCTTACTCTTTTTCTTTTCCCAAAATAACCATCTTAATATGTTTAATGTGTATATTTTTATATATGAAGTGCAAGTACAAGGTGTTATGTGCACATGCATCTTTACATAAATAGAATTGTGTTATAGAACTTATTTTCTTAAATTGAAATATAGGCAGTTACAAGGTGTCAATTTCTGGTATACAGCATACTGTTTCAGTATACATATACATACATATATTCCTCTTCATATTCTTTTTCACTATAGATTACTAGAAGATATTGAATATAGTTCCCTGGGCTATATAGAAGAAATTTTTTTATCTTTTTATAGACAGTAGTTAATATTTGCAAGTATTGAACTTCCCACCCCCTTTCCTCCTGGTAACCGTGAGGTTACTGTTTATTATGTCTGTGAGTCTGTTTTTGTTTTGTAGATGATAGAACTCATTGTTCTTTGCTTTTTGCCTCAGAATTGCTTTTTAAGACTTACCTGTGATACTAAGTGAACATCTAGTCTGTTGCTGTTAAAACTGCTCCGTTGTGTGCATTCATGACATTTCACTTCCCCAGTTCCTCAGTGATGGACTCCTGGAGTGTCTCCAACTTTGCAACCCCACAAATAATGAATGTGTTTTTATTATTTATCTATTACTGCACAGTAAACTGCTCTAAAACTTAGCAGTTTAAACCAACATTGTTTCAGTTTTTCAGTTTCAGAAATCTGGGTACAGTGTAGCTTGTTGCCTGTGACTCAAGTGTCTCATGAGGTTGTAGTTGATCTAATTTATGGCCGGGGCTGTGGTGTCATCTGAAGCCCCAACTAAGGAGGACCTGCTTCCTAGACTTCTCCCTTGGCTGTTGGCAGGATTCAGTTCCTCTAGGCTTGTTGGACTGAGGGTCTCCGTTGCTCACTGGCTGTTGACTGGAGGTCTCCCATAGTTCTTTGCCAAGTGTACTTCTCTGTATGTTAGCTCACAACAAGGCAGCTGGCTTTCCTTGGAGAAAGCAGATAGAAGAGCAGGAGCGGGTGCCCAACACAAGCCGTGGTCTTTTCTGAGAAAAGACCAGTCTCCTCTCAGTCTCCTCTCAGAAAAGCCAGTCTTCTCTCAGAAGTGGCATCCTTTCACTTTTACTATATTATCTTCTAAGCAAGTCACTATGTCCGTCCTACACTCAGGGGGAGGCAGTTACACGAGGGCATGAATAGCAGGAAGCAGGGATTATTGAGGGTCATTTTAGGGGTTGCTTACCACGGTGCTCAGACATATTTCTGTGAATTTTTCTTTGGCATATATACATATACTGGGTTACAAATTGTTTGCTAAAATGACTGTTTTGGTTAATATTCCTTTTAGTAGTACATGAGGGTTTATATGTCATTATGTGCCAGCCAATACTTTACATTTTCTAGGACATCAGGGGACATGACATTGTTCGAAACTGACTCTTTATATCTTTTGCTCTTTTTTTTTTTTCCTACTGGAGTTCTTGCCTTTTTCTTGGCCTTTTGCAGGAGTTGCTTGTGATATTCTAGATATTACATCCTTGTTCCTCTTCCATTCTGTCATCTGCCTGTTAAGGGTTTGTTGAGCAATAATCCTGAATTTTGATGTAGTTAAATGCTAGCTGTTTATTTACTCACTTTATGGTTTGTGCTCGTAGGCTTTTGTTTAAGAAGCCTCTTGTGCTTTTGTTATAAACTTGTTATACATTTTCCTCTATTAATTTTAGTGTTATCATTCACATCCAAGTCTTTAATTTATCTGTAGTAGGTCTTTGAGTATGTTGTAAGATGGGGACCCATCATTAGTTTTCTTTATGAAATGAGACAGTTTTTCCCAACACCATCTTCTGTACAATCTGTTCTCAGTTGATTTGCGGATTCATTTTATTGTTCGTTCCCATAGAAACACAGGTTTGACTATACATATTCAGTTCTCAGTTGAGTTCCATTGATTTGTCTTCTTTTTCATGTCTGCTTGCAAATACCATACTATTTTTATTGCCACAGCTGTATAACTGGTAGAAGTCCCTCTCTTCACTCTGTATTTTCAAGGATGACTTAGCTATATGTTTATTCTTTCATAAAAATGTTAAGAGTCAATTTATGAAATTTCTGAAAAAAAAACTCAGTGGTAATTTTGGTTGTTGATTGTATTGACTTTAATTTGTTTAGAGTTATCATCATAGTATTAAGTCATTCCATTCAGATCATCCTCTTTACCCTTTATTTGTGTTTTAATACTAATAAATGGATGCTGGGCAGCAAAATGAATAGAGGTTATCCTGTAAATCAGTCAACAGCATCCTGAATCCTTTTTTCATGAAATTCCCTTTACATTTTTGTTGCAACGAGTATTCCTTTTGTTTTATGATTATATATTACATGGCCTCAACATATATCTTCCCTTTTTATTATTCTAAGTTACGTATGCCTTGTACACTATGCTGATGACACTATTCAGGAAGTCCCAATTAGTTCCAATCAAAATCAGAGCAATGAAGATCCCTCTGTCTCTCTATCCATTTATCCATTTAGTGTCTGTTATGAACTAGAGTTGGTAATACAAACAACAACTGAAAAATGAAAGGGTCCCTAGCTAGACTCTCATGTGTTCTAGTAAGGAACATAGACTTGTCTGCAAATACTTTAGGTCTTAAGTTGCGTTTTTAGAGGTGCTTTCTTTTGATCCCACAGTTAATACCTATCTCAACAGATAGAATTTTTATGTGTGGGCTTGTGAAAGCACACAGGAGGGATCTCTTAGCTCCATTTAAGAAAATTTGGGAGAATGAAATTTTAGCTTGATAGGAAATCCAATGTCATTTTGAGTCAATATTCTTAAGTGCTTTAAGCTTTCCCTACCTCCCAACATCCAAGCCTCTACTCTTCACTCCGTAACAGTGAGAGAGGATGGTCCAAGGGTTAACACCTACTCTGTTCTCCCATTTGTGATGTTGTTTGACCCAGTTTATTTTAAAGGAGACCAGCCCTCTGTTCTCAGTCTACACTCTTTCCTTAAGATTGCTACACCTAGTATTTATTAATAGTTACAGTTTTTAGTTTAAACAAACTAAAGCAATTTCTTTCTGGATCTGGGACCTAGAGTAAGATGATCAATTGTAAACCATCACAGTTTTAAAAATTACTGATGACTGAATACATTGATAAATGTATTAGAAGTGATCACCTATCTAGATAGGCGGTACCCTGTGGCAAGATATTTGTTCGTTCAGGATTTGGCTTTAAGCTCTGATCCAGCTGGAAAGCCCAGCCAATTGCCTGTAGAGTATGAATTCCTGACAGAAATAGGCTGTGTGAATAAATGGTTATTGTGATGCAATATCTTTTGGGTTCTGAGCACTCAGATCATCACTAATGAAGACTAATGAATTGTAATAATGACACATCAGTATTGTCTTTCATCCAATTCAAGAAATAAAAACAAATGCAAGGATTGCCTTTCATATGGTTAATATTTACAACAACAATTATGGAAATTTCAGGAAAGAGAATTGTTCTACAGTACTTTAAAGCCAGATTTCTGAGTAGAAATGAGATTTATTCATTACATAATAAGATCATTTGCATGGGCCTCTATTGTTTTGTATACTTTGCTTTTATTTAAAAGCCATTTCTATCAGCAATACTCCTTAAAATATCTGATAGAATTAGAACTTAAAACTCTGGTAAGCTTACCCAGCTCTAGAGCCAAGTCATCTTTAATTGTTTAATGAGCTTCACTTAAGTAGGTGCTAAGTATTTTTCTTTGGATTTTTCATGAATATTTCAGTTGTGTAAAAATACTTTGATATTCTTTTGAAGCTGTTACTTTTCTTGTTGTGTTGTTGAGATTTCCACTTTCCTGTTCTAACATGTTACTGTTCTCCATAATTGTGTTTAAATTTTTGCAATAATTGAAGATTTCTTTATGCATTTGTTCCTGTTCATACTCCCTGCTCAGCTGAAATTTCATTTCTGTTTTATTTGATCTAAGATTTGTTTCTAAAAGGAGTTAACGATCTTCAGAGGACAGCGGTAGTCCTTCATAAAAGAAACATGCTTAATAAAATAGGAGTAATTTGATTATTCACATTGTGCTGAACAGGCAGAGTTGGCCTTGAGAAAATAGACACTTAGAGATAGAAGATCTAGGGTATACCATTGTTCTTATTGAAAAGTGATTATCAACTCAAAAAGGCATTGTTTTCTTCCTTACACTGTGGCTTCTCTTCAGTTTTGCAATCTGAGTATTTGTTTCTATATTAACTGAACAGAGATGAACACAAGGGCTTTAGGGTGGACCCTCAAAGCACAGCATTGCTGGGAACTGTTTCTGTTATACACTAATAGACTTGTCATTCAGTAATAGATGGGAACTGGGAAATAGGAAAGTAATGGGATATCTGATCCAAGTACAGGAACTAACGACAAGGAAAGGGTTTCGTATTTTTTACTTGACTTGATTTTTATGTTAAACATATTAGCATTTTTTTAATAATCTAGAAACATGTTGAATATTTTATGTTAAACATATTAGTATTTTTTAATAATCTAGAAACATGTTGAATATTTTGATTTGAGTTTTTAAATGTATGGGTTATTTAGAAAAGAGCAATACCTTAATCTTCCAAAGTGATCATTGTTCTGATTTGTTTTCTATTTTCCCAGTGATATTACATATGAAATATCAGTTGAAGCTGTGTCAACAATGGTGGTTTTCCTTTCCTGCCAGCTCTTCCACAAGGAAGTTTTGCGGCAGAGCATCAGTCACAAGTATTTGATGCAAGGTCGATGGTATGTTTCTATGTTTCTATTTTAAATTTGTCTAGTTTTGTATTGTATAAATCTGTATTTCTCATCTTGTCCTCTCACTTTAGTGTTGTCCCATGTTTTCAACCAGACATTTCCTCTGGTTGTTCTTTCAGAACTTCAAACCCAGCATGTAAGGATCTGCTTTCCTGTCTAAACGGTCTGTCCTGTCCTCCCTGCCCCTATCATCGCCCAGCTTCATTACCTTCTCTGGTGCTTTCTTTGTAGAACCGAAACTTTGAAGTCATCTTTCTCCTTCCTTCTGCATCATTCTCTGTCTAAGTAGCCATCTAGTCATATTTGTTCATTGAAATTATCTGTATCTTCCCCTTCTCACTAATCCCATTGAAGCTACTACTGTAACCTGTGCCCCATCACCATGTGTTTGGATTACCCCAGCAGTCTCTTAACTGTTCCTACTTTCCTTTAGTCAGTAAATGCTTACTGTGCAGTAACCATGTGCCAGGCGTGTGTTAGGATGTGGAGCTTTGCTCCTGAGCAGAAGCTTACAATCTCCTAGTGAGTAGGGATGGGAGTAGATAAACATTCAGTGCACACATACACACACACACACAGGCACCTGCTGTTGATATAATCTTCAGAGAACTTCATTTGGGAGGTTTGTCTTTTTCACATCCTTCTTGCTACCTTGGTTGTTACCTCTGTGGCACCTTCTTGCCACCTTGATTATACTGTGGCACGTTCATAGAATCCTTTAGGGCTCTTTTGGGGAACGTATTTGGAAACCACTGCTTATAGGGATGAAAAGGACTTAAGCTTTGGCTCAGTGGTCTATTTAAATGTTTTCTCTAGATTGCAGGAATTGATTTATCACCAATTTGTGAACAAATGTCCCTTTTAACCTATTTCCTCTTCCTTCTCTCATTCCATTACTTAAAAGCAAGGAGTATTAACATTAAAAAGAAATCTGTGTACATATGGATTTTTTTTGTATGCATGCATAAATTAAATAATTTCATACTTTTAAATTCTTACTTTTTCCTACTGATTCCAAGTTACTACCTCCCTTCAACTGCCAGGTACTGGATTATACACTGAATTTATCATATCTCACCTGTTACACAGATTACAAATAAGGTAAGTGAAAGCTTAGGAGTCGAGGTGATTTATGAATGACATACGGCATAGTAAGAGAAAAGCCAGAATTAAGCCTCAGGTCTGACCTCCAAGCCCGCGGTCTTCACTGCTGTGTGACGGTGCTAGATTTCTTTGAATTGTGCTAATCCTTCTATGTCAATAGATTATATAGGTTATATTTACCATGACAGAAAATCAGAAGACTTCCCTAAATATGGGCTTCTTTTCTTCTTTTCTCTTACTGTGTAGTCTTCCGTACACCAGCAAGCTTGTGAAAACCTTACTGTACAACTTCATCAGACAAGAAAAGCCGCCGCCTCCAGGATCGCACGTTTTCCCTCAGCAGTCGGATGGGGGAGGCCTGCTGTATGGACTTGCATCGGGAGTAGCAAGTGAGTCTTGCCTGATTTTGTCAGTTCTTTGATGTTCATGGGTTTTATCCAATTACTCATAAGAAATTCTGCCACTGCTAACTTATAGATTGGATCTGTGCAGCTGACTAAATGTGAAATACGGAAATTAATTTAAAATATTTTTTCCATTAGGTGCAGTGACTTATACAAGGCAATATATGCAAATAATGAATAGATTGTTTACCTATATGGCACCATTTTTCAAGAAGAATATTTATGAATATGCATATTGCATGAGTTCTAGCTGTACAGAATAAATACAGTTGTGCCCTTGGAAACTTTACTGTTTGTGTTTCATGAGGAAATCATTCTGTTTTAGGGGTTTTATTGGTTAGGATTTTACATGACTAGTTAAGTGTAGTTTTTTTTTTATTATACGTGGAGTTTCATTTGTTCATTCTGAAGTGGCACAAACGTGAGTTTTATCAGAATTGGAAGCAAATTTCATTAACTAAGGAAGTTCTTTCCCATCATACAGTAAAGCCTCATTTCTGCTCCACAATGTTCAGACTAAAGAGAGTTGAGGCACAGGGATACTCTGGCCCTCCCCTTTGTTAGTGTGGAGGACCTGGGCACGTGAGGTTACATCAGCTGAACTTCTGCTTTGTTCTGAAGGAGAGACAAACTAGACTGACACCTCGGCAGTTGTAAGGTCCGCCTGGGTGCTCCTGGTAAAGCAGCTGTGTACGTCCTACTTATTAATTACATCGGGCAGATTTCAGCTGTTTGAAGGGCTTTAAAAAGGAGCTGAGTTCCACAGCCGACTTAGGCTGTGACGTGCTCTCCATGCTTGGGCGGGAACATCAGTTTGGTAGGAAGATGGAGTGCTCTGTGATAACTTACGGAATGGTGAGTCTTGGGAAACTCTTTGGATTAAAAGACTTCTGTTGACTTTAGGAACTGATCTGTGGACCTGGCTTTCTAGGTTTGCCTTCCTTTGACTTCTTTTAATATTGTGAGTTGAATTACATTCGTAATCGCCCATGGCTTTGTCCTTGGTGCTGAGCAGGCTGCCGAGAACAGCGGACCCGCAGAGGCTTGTTCTCTGGGTTACGCCTCCCACAGCTCTCAGTGTTTCAAATGAGGAGACTGCACAAGGCTTGCTCATGGGTGGCCTCTGAAGGCAGCACAGGAAGGACCTCATGTGTCCCACGGGAAGGCTAGATTAATCCATCAGTGTTTTCTTTTTTTCAATCATTAAACTGGTGGGAGTATTCAAAAGCTGAGTATTTTTCAGTACTCCAATATGGTTGGAGATTTTTTTAGAGGAATTAGTATAGGTTCATTAACAGCTTTCCTCAAAACAATGGCAGTTTTTAAAAGCATAGATTTGTGTGTAGTTCTTGATTTTCTTGCAGTTACGTGTTACCATAAAGAAGTCCACTATGGTATGTGGTGTCATTAGTACCAGGTGCCGAAAAGCTTGACTTGTTAATTTTAGATCTGCTCTGCGTATCAGGAAGAAGTTCCTTCATTTTCCTAGCTCCCAGTTTCTTTGTCTATCAAATGTCTATCAAGGTTGCTATAGATGATCTCTGAGACTGTTTCCACGTAACTTTTAATGGCTCTGTGGTCTTTTCCCCTACCATTAAGAAATTTAATATTCAGCTAAAGACATTAAAATTACAGTTTTTAGTGTGCCTATAATCATAAGATGTTTTATATCGCTTTTTAAAAAAGTTAACTGAAGTATAGTTAATTTATAGTGTGTTAGTTTCTAGTGTACAGTATACTGATTCAGTTATATATATGTATACATATGTCTTTTAGAGGTTATCATGCTAAATGAAGTAAGTCAGAGAAAGACAAATACCATATCATATCACTTATATGTGGAATTAAAGAAATGATACAAATTTACTTATTTACAAAACAGAAAGAGGCTCACAGACATAGAAAACAAACTTATGGTTACCAAAGGGGAAAGGTGGGGGGAGGGATAAATTACGAGCTTGGGATTAACAGATATACACTACTGTATATAAGACACATAAAAAATAGGGTCTTACTGTATAGCACAGGGAACTATATTCAATATTGTGTAATAATCTATAGTAGAAAAGAATCTGAAAAAGAATATATGTATAACTGAATCACTATGCTGTACATCAGAAACTAATACAACATTGTAAATCAACTATACCTCAATAAAAAAGAAATTTAAAAAAAGTAAATGAATTTAGTGATCAGAAAATCTCTAACAGATTTGTGTAAGATAATTAAAAAATCTAAGAGAATATTTTATCTTTTTCATTTGCTCAGACTTTAAATTTTACATAAAAATGTTTTGAAATACTGACTAAACTGAATACACCAGCCATGTTTTTGCTCATTCTCCAACTGGCTTTTCATTTTATGTGGTGCAGAATTTGGCCAATGACAGTCAGAAAGGAAAATTTGATTGTTAAATAGATATTACCCACAAGAGATTTCTCCTTGCTTCCTAAATGAACTTGCCTTGACAACAATCACCATGGTACCATTTCTTGCTAATTTATTATAATGTTATATTTTCTTTTTGATAGTTGGTTTATAAACTTAGCCAAAGATTTTAGTAAAGAAAAGATGCTGACTGAGCCTGAATTGCAGTAAATATTTCAAATGTGTAACTCAGATACATCAGTAGTATCAGTGGTTTTAGTTACAGTCAGGTAGGCAGTGATACTTAATGCTTACTTTGATCTGTAAGCACATTGCCTTATGCTGTTAGAAATGCTTTACAAAGCATGTGACCAAAGACCTTTACCTGTATGATTTGGTATGTGATCGAGCAGACCGTATGCTGGTTACACATGGTCAGTTCTGATTGCTATTAACAAAATGCAAAATGTTTGGTTCTTGGTCAGGGCTCTCTTACTGGCTTGCAAATGATTGCATGGTGTTTTCACATGGTATCTCTTCACCAGTGTCTCTTCACTGGTGTTTCTTCTTCCGCTCATAACGGCACAGATACCATCATGGGGACTCCACACTCATGACCTCATCAAAACCTAATGACTTTCCAAAGGCCCCACCTCCTGTTACCCTCACATTGGGGTTAGGGCTTACTGTGGGAAATCTGGAGGGACGCAAACATTCAGTCAATAATAGGCATTGCATAGATTGTGCTAGACTTCCCCTCACTGAAATCCTCAGTTTGGGAGGCCACTGGTCTTGTTAGTATGATGATAACTAAGGCACCTTTTAATTCCAGTCAGCCTTTATTTTAAACCACAACCTGTTTAGTGGTAGTGGTAAGGATTATGGCCAAAGTAGATCATTCACAGCCCATTCCAACCTCACTAATATATTTTTAAAAAAAAAGAAAAGAAACAGCATTCCAGACTGCATAAGGAGTGCCTCCAAAAACAATCCTGTGATTGAACAGATTATTTTCTTTTCTGATTTTGGAGACCACCACTTACATTGTCTTTTCGAGGGAATGACTCTAGATTTGGGTAACTTGGTAGTATGGAGGAGGCACAAGTGTCAGACTCTGGCTGTTGGTATCAGACCTAGGTCAAATGCCAGTCCTGCCACTTACTAACAAATTGTTCCTGGGCTGTTTAACCTCTCAGGGATTCAGAGTCTTCATGGTGAAATGAGGATAGTCCCTTCCTTTTGTAGGGCTACTGAGGTGATCAAATGAGCAGGAGTGTAGGAAAGAGCCTGGCACCTAATAGGTACACAAGAAATGGTCACTGTTAGTAACAAACATTGCGTAGTAATTAATACTTGAGAGATAACTTTTGTTTTAAAAAAATAGAAAAAAGCCAGTGACTTTATAATAATTTACAAGTTTACTCAGATTTTTTTTATTGAAGTGCAGTCAATTACAATGTGTCAGTCTCAACTCAGATTTTTAATGTAAATAAATTATGAAAAAAATCAGGTATTTGGTATATACATTTTTATTAGAGACTTCAGACCGTCACTAAAAGAATTATATTGAAAGTTTATATTGTGAGAAGGAAAAATAAGTTGTAGCATTTATTGTTTTTCTTTTGATTTTACCCTTACTTCTTTGACTTTGTCTTTTAATATATTTTCAAGCTTCTAAATTGCCTCAGTGCCCCTAAGAAAAGGGTGAAGCAAGAAAAGGTTGACCTTGAAATTTTGTGCGTGTTTTTTCATTATAAGACAAAGCTTTAATGTGACTGTAACTGAGTATTTAATGTTTTAAAGAGCCAAGCCTAATTAAATGTGTTCTGCCAGACTGTGCTTTCCATCAGAAGTACTGAGGTTTTACACAATAACTTCTGATAGATGGCTTTTCCATTTGAATGAGCCATCAAAAATGTTTTTTTTTCCCTTTGCTTGCAGTGGTGGGTATCCCAGCCAAATTATAAGTCCAAAGTAGCGATTATTTGCTGAGGCAAATGCTATAATAGAGAAATTAATAAAGTAGAATTTGAAGATTAAAACTCATTTCTCCCAACGGCTATTGAGAAAGTTACTGAATTCATTACAACAGGTATTGTATGCAGTGGTTGTAATTTTTTTTATGTGACGATTGTTTTTCTCTTCAGTTTTGGCTTTGTCTGGGCTGACTCATTGAGAGGAAGAAAAACTACAGTAAGAGAAAAAGTATGTGGCACTCAGAAATAGGCATAGTTGTGAAAAGATTTCTAATTAAAACGTTTTGAACCTTTGAGAAAAGGAAGTTTTTTAAACAGTAATTACATTCTTAATTCATTTTTATTTGGAATGATTTGGTAGCTATTATAAACCACGTGAAAGAATGACTTTTTTTCCCTTCTTTTTTTTGGGGACTGAACTCGTCTTATGGCTAGTAAAATAGAATTAATTTCAGCTTGCTGTGTCCTTGTAGGTGGTTCCTTGCAGGGACAGGGAGCATTTATATTACTGTCTACAACACAAAATGACCATATTTAGTTGTAGAATTGTAATAGAAGTAATTTCACTTTTAAGTGGTCTTTGAAAAAGTATTATTTCAGATTATAGACTTTCAAAAAAGTGTTTTTGAATTGATATTCACT